CATGTGAGGACTTCAATCATTTTTTGTGAAAATTTAGTCCTCCTTTCATTTAAAATTCTTCCACTTCCACTAAATGTTTGTTCGGATGAGACTGTTGAGCCAGGAACTGAGAAAACATCCAAGGCAAGTCTTGATAATACCGGAAAAATACATTTTCTAGTTTTCCAATATTCTAAGACATCAAAGTTGGCTCTTTGTTGTGGATCTACTGGTAGCACGTTGGGGGTTCCCAAATATTGGTAAAACTCATTACTCTGTAGCTACATGGAGGACAGTACATTCATTGTTGATGCTTCTGAAGAAGAGGCTGTGCTTTGGGTTCGGGTCCTCTTCGGCCTATTAAGTGCACTTCAGGAGTCGAAGTCTTCATTTGTTTCTACTAATGCTACTTGCTCGGGTATTTCGCTTTTTCGCTAGTTCCCATACCTATTTCCATATTGCAAATATGCCTCTGCAAGACACTCTTTTATCTCTCCTAGTTGATTGGCATATGCTTCGTCTCATAAATTTTCACTTAACATGTCTAGACCATTTTCTAAATGCGCTAATTTAATTCTAGGATCAAATATGGCAGCTAAAGAATAAAGAAAATGAATTAGTTTCCAACATTTTTAAACTTTTAATTCTATTGCCTCTATTGGTCCCGCTAAAATTTCATTGTTTCTGTTTTTTTAAATAAATATGAAATTTTTATAATTGTATGTATTACTAATGGACTAGTAGGATAATATACATCATAAAGTTGTAGGGTGGATTGATAAAAAATTTGAAGGAAAGAATGAAAATTTTGAGCTATATGTCAATCACTGTCTACCAAATAATGAGGACCCCTATTATTTGCTACAAAATAACTAATTAAATTTGCATAAGGTAAACATAAATCAAGCATTAAATAAATACTATTCCATCTAACAGGCATGTCTAATGCAAAAGTTTTAGAAGATATATTTGATTTTATATAAGCATCTTGAAATTTAGTACTTCTTCTATTACTACTAGTAATCCAAGCTAAAGAATTCATAATTCTATCAATATTATTTCTAATTTTTTTTATATCACTTTTCGCAATTAAATTAATAATGTGACATGCACAGCGTTGGTGAAAAAACTTCAAATTGTCATAAAAAATAAAATTTATTTTAAAAAAAATCTATAGCTCTACTATTAACATTTGCATTATCTAAAGTTAAACTAATCACTTTGTGAACAACATCATAATCTTCTAAAACTTCAATAATTTTATTATAAATTTGTTGACCACTATGATCCACATCCATTAATCTAAATCCCAATAAAGAATTATTTATTTTCCATTCGTTAGAAAAATAATGACTAGTCACACAAATATAATCTTGTTTAGCTCTACCACTCCAAATATCGGCGATTAGAGCCACACTAACATGACAATTATGTATTTTATTTTTTAATTCTAATTTCATTTTCCCAAACAATTTTATTAAATCATTTCTTGTTGCAGTTGTAGAATAACTTTTAAATCCTGGAAAAAATGAATGTTTAATAAATCTTTCAAAATATTTATCTTCAGCCATATTAATAGGTTGATCAATTGCAGCAATATATAAAGCTAATTGTTCCCTATATACATCAAAATTATAATGCCAAGTAGTACCCATATTAGTTATTTGAGTTTGATTGATTTCTCTATTTCCAAGTTGAGTAATATGTTTATTAGCATGTCTTTTTAAAGTACTAGTATTATTACCTGCATCAGCTTTATAAATATTTTCACAATACTTGCATCTTGCTTTCTTCACTTGAACTCCATTTTCTATCTCATAAAACTTATTGAAATGCACCCAAACGTCAGATGTGTGCCTATCGTCAGTTTCGATTGCAGTTGATGAACTCGCTTCTGCTTGAGATAGAGTTGGACGAGACGACGATTACGAGATGACTTCTAGAACCACCGGGAGCTGTAACAGCATGGGAAGGAAGGGTGGGGATATTATGAGGTGTATCGGATTCTAAGAATGGGATAGCGGGACTATTAAAATCTACTACATTTACGTTAGTAAATTCATGGGGACTAGGATAATTTTCTTTATCATCGAAATTGATGGGATGGAAATATCTATCCATTCTAGTTAAAAAAAAAAAAAAAAAATATTGGATATAGAAGAAATAAAGAATTAAAGAAGGAGAATTGGAATTTGGAAATATGAATTGAAAATTGCAAAAACTAATAAAAATTAAAATGAGAGCAAATTGACAACAAAGAGAATAATTGAGAGATTTCAATAGAGAGAATGAGAGAATTTGGGATGTGAGGAAATATGATAGTTTAGGTCCTATTTATAGAAAAAAATGGAAAAAGAAAATGACCAAAAAGACCCCTCCAACTGCTAAAAAACGGCTATCTTTCAAGGGTAAAATGGGTATTCGCAAAAAAACTAATTTAATTTTTTTAAATTGTTTTTGTACAACCTGCGGGTCAACCCGGCAGGTTGGACGGGTTTTTAAAAAAAAAAAATATATATATATATATATAACCCATCGGGTTGCTGGGTTGGCCTATGAAGGCCCAACCCGCCCCGCGGGGTATACATGGGACCGGTTACGGTTGACCCGCCTAACCCGACCCATTTGTTGCACCTTTAGCATACAAGATAATAGGGGTAATCTTTGTTTATTTTGCAAGATTCCGATATTTGGTTTGCAAGTGATAAAATATTATAGGAATCTTTTACTGCAACTAGTGTTTACCATTGGCAATGTGGGGGCTAATTCGATACCCTCCCCTAGGGGTGTTATTAAAACTTTACTGGGTAATCTGATTTTTAAACCTATTTTGCCCTTAATTAAATACCATTTCAAACACAATTGCCCTCAAAGTCTATCAAATAACAATTACCCAGCCCCCCTACATTTAAGAAATTAGGTAAAACACCCTAGCCACAAAAAAGTTTAAAAATTAACAAAATACCCTCAGCCACCCAAGACCACCGCTGACTATTACTCACCATTGTTGGTTGTCAGCATTAATCGCCGTAATGACGCACGACCGACGAGATCTAGATGGTCGTACACTGATAAGGCCTTTTCTAGCCATAGATCTGTGATCCATGGGCGTTTTTATGCCGTTTCACGACCAAAGATGTGGTCATGCAATGGCCAGATCTCTAGCCGTGAAAGGGCCATGGGTTTGTGATCCATGGATGGAAATGGTCAATCGTGCATCAATAGGGCCTTTTCCAACCATGGATCACAAATCTATGGCCGAAAACGGCCAAATATGGCCGTTTCTATGGTCGTTGCAAGACAAAAGACGTGGCCGTGAAAAGGCCAAATCTTTGGCCATGAAACGACAATGTGATCCATGGCTAGAAATGGCCGATCGTGTGCCGATAAGGTCTTCTTCGGCCAAATCTAGCAGTTTCTATGGTCGTTTCACAACCAAAGATGTGGTTGTGAAATGACCACAAATTTGGTCGTGAAACGACCATGGATTTGTGATCCATGGCCGTAAATGGCTTTGCCGATGCATGGCCGACCATATACAGCCAGTCGTGCGCCATTCCGTCAATTACCGGCGGCGACCTGCAGTGGTGGCTGGCTAGCGACAATGGCTTGAGGGTCAGTGAGGGTGATTTTGCTACAAATTAAAGTTTTATATGGCTAGGGTGTTTTAGCAAATTTCAAATGTAGGGGGTTAAAAGGAATGGTTCAAAAAATAATATTATATTAATATTTAAAAAGGAGAGCAATTTGGTAATCTATATAACATACCCACCCATTTATTCTCCCAATCAAATATATTATTCACCACTTTATTCGAACCAACCCAATACATTTCTTAAACATTCCCAATAATCTTCAAGGTGATCTATCTTTCTGTTAATATAACATCCATTTATAATAAAACATTATATGATCCAAACGCTTATTGGTTTTGGAAGATTACCGGAATCTTTTAATACTTGACAACCAAACATGGTAATCAAGTAATATAAGATAGCATTATCTTAGTAATTCAACATTACCTCCAACCAAACACACCCTTAGAATCTTAACTCCATCCAACCTTTGATAAATTCAAAAGGGTATAATCGTATTTTCCCTCGCCTATATTCTTTTTTTCTTTTCTCCCCCTCTTTTTTTTTTCCCTTTCATTCTCTCCCTCACCATTGAATTGCCATCACAACATTTGAACCAAAAACAAAAAAACTATAGCTGCATTTGTTACATTTTTCATACTCTATTATATTATATTATCTTATCCAATCCAATGAAAAACGTGCTTGTTTTAATATTGACTATTCAATTCAAAATCCAATCATATTCTATTCAACTCAAAACATTTAATAATTATCTTTCATAATAAAAGTTTATAAATTAACAAAAACACCCCTACCTACCCAAGCCACTATCACCCGCCAACAGCCACTACCACCACTGGTGCTGGAACGATGCACGACCAACTGAATCAAGCCGATTGTGCATCGATCTTTCCTTTTCCAGCCAGATCCACCATGGATCTAGCCTTTTCCGGCCAAATCTATCGACTAGATTGGTCGGTCGTGCGTCGATCTTTCATTTTCTGGCCAGATCTACCGTGGATCTAGCTATAGATCTAGTCGAAAAAGGCAAGATCGACACACAACCGATCAGATCTAGTGGGTCGTGTGCCATTCTAGCGACTGACGACCATTGTCCGACGATGGTGGCTGACTGCCGGCAGTAGATTGCGTGGGTGAGGTGTTTTGTTAATTTATAAAATTTTATTATGCGGGGGTGTTTAGCTAAATTAATAAATGTGGGGAGTTAGAAAATAATTTAAATATTTTTAGAAAATGTTTTCCAATAATGTACCATACACATTCTCAGAATCTATTAAGGGATAATTGATTAATTTTTGAAACAATTGGGACAGTTGTCCATGAGGGGAGGTTTGGAAACTATAGGGGGCAAACTGATTTTTAGTCTTAAGGAAAGCATGGTGACATCACATCCAAATTTCCAAATCTTTGAGGCGTGTCAAATGTTCAACTAGCTGAGTGTTGTGTCGTGTCGGCTTCCCCTTACCAATGGTTTCAGTTTGTGTTACTATCCATCCCACAATAGAGTAAAAAGAAAAATCATCTAACTAGTAATCAAGTTGTTTCAAGAAATGGAAAATGAAGAGAAATTTTACAATGAGAGGCGAAGCTTGATAGGAGGCAGTAATAAAACTTTGAAGAAATCTTGTTTTGCCCTAATAAACAACCTTGATGATGGCTGCCTTATGCATATTTTTAGTTTCTTATCGCCTATTCCAGGTGAATTCTCTTAACTTGGTTTAAATTCTAGCTTATTTGTCTTTAATTAAGCTATTTATGTACTGGGAATTTTCGAGCTAATTGTTTGTTTTCTAGCATGTATGGTAGGGTTTTCTGTTGGGAATGTGATTTTGGAAAATGGGTTTTGAAATTTATCTTCCTTTTGAAGATTTTGTAGTTTGAGGATGATATATATTTGATAATTATGTATTCCTCCTGTATTTTAAGGGTTGGAAGAAATCTAAATGTATATGTTTGAATGGGTTTGTGGTAAAAGTTGTTTATTCTAGGGCACTAAGCTTTTCAGGTAAAAACAAAAAATCTGTCTCATATACTGCAAGTTTTGAAGTTCTAGGAGCAGTGAAAGTATTTTAGTTGTTTAGTTGATTAGTGTGACTTTGTTATTAATTATATATTTTTCCCATTACCTTGAGTATTTTAATGGGTGCTGCATTAGTATCAGGTTCTATCTTGGTGCGTTTAACTTCTACGAAAGATAATAGCTTCAACATTTCTGTGATTGAATAAAATACTGTTGAATCTGTAATATGATATGTTTTCACTGCTGGGATGTAAGATTGGTCATTTAAATTGGAGGAATCTAATCCAGTAAAATAACTTCATACTGAAAAAATCAATACCATATATTTATAATTTTGTTATGCAAGTGTGCTTGTGATGATTGTTTAGCATAAGATGTGTGTTTTGAATGTTAATATGGTAAAATCCCTATCTCTTTAAATTGTCTAAATCAACTTCATAACTCTGAAATTATGTATAGCATCATTTTGTGCAATCCCTTTCACAAATTACTATGGAGCTTTGCAGATCGATATAACACCGCCCTCGTTTGCCACAGATGGCATTACTTGGCGTGTCATCCTCGCATGTGGCTGCGAGTAGATCGGTTCATTAAAGATTTATCAGAGCCCGGAGTTTTCCCAGATCTACAAAAAGCTGTAACTGCAGCAAGGTTTGTAAAGCTGCAAATTGCCTCTGCATGATTCTTGAGATATAATAGTCTAAAATAACTTGTTTATCACATTGTTCCTCTTAGACCTGGCGACACCATTTTAATTTCATCAGGCGGCAGTCATCTTGCCTGTAATATTCAGATAAGAAAACCACTGTGCCTGGTATGTTACTAGTTTATTTCTTCAAAAATGGTTTCATGTTTGTATTTTTAAAATAAAATACAGTGTGGTTCGTTTCCTATAAAATTTTTAGAGCAGGTTTAACTTTGCATTATTTCCATTATTATTTTTGTTACCAGCTATATACCCTGTTAACTAACAGGTCTGTGTTACCTTCTATTGTACACTGAAAAATTGGAGAGGTATCTCAATTTAACTTTTGAATGGCATGAAAATTAAGTTTGAGAGGAAAGCATCTCGCTATAATTGGTTCCATCCATTTGTTATGTCTTTTTTGTAACAAGCTTTAAAACATGTTTGAGCACAAAATATAGTTACTAGTTCTAAAAATATGAAATGGGAATCTTAAGTCTGGTCGATCATTATGCTTTCCATGATTCAAACTTGAATAATTGAATCAATTAGCACTGACATGAGCTAGAACCATCTGATGTTCTGGGTAATTTTTGCCTTATGGAGCTACTGCTAACATTCAACCCTATCCTATTTGCTGGAATAGGTCTGTAGATGTAAGTTGAATGTTTCATTGTTGCCCTGAATCTCTTCTCTCTATTATTGATAGGGGACTTTACTAATTACTAACTATTCTGGTGTAGCAGTTGAAATCGTATTTGCCTGTCAATTGTGCATCTATGCCAGAACTGTTGAGTTCAATTTTCCAAAATTTAGTTGATTTAGTTACAGGGTACTGCATAGCATGAATACATTCATGGTCTATTCCCATTTTTTTGTGAACCTTAATTCTTCCGTGGTGAAGGAATCAATTCATATATTCCATAATATTTGAAAAATATTTAATTTGACTAAATTCACATTGAGGAACAACAAATTTGCTTTCAGCTGGAAGTGGACTAATATTACTTGTTTGCTCAGTTTCTTGCCTATTGGAAGTTGGAACCCACTTCTTTGTTTTATTGCAAGAGAGAAAAAAAAAAAAAAGACTTATTTTGAAATTTTTATCGATTTCTTTTTCACTGTGACAACTTATCTTTTTTAGATTGGAGGAGGTGAGCTTCCGGATGAAACAACCCTCATATGCTCTCGAGGTTCAGACAGGTTTGTAAAATTTTTTGGTGATTATCTACTTTCAGGAGCATCTAATATTGAAGGGATATGCCTATAGTGAAAGGTGATGCCTTTTAATGTATAAGACTTAATCATGGCTCAGAAGTAGGCAGATCTAGGGATGTGTCATACTGCAAGACTTACATTATGTACACAGATTATATTTACATAAATGATATAACAAATCAAGACATAATTTGACATGCACTGGCTACTCATTGCATGGCATTCCTGTATATTTTAAGGTTAAGTGATTTTATTTCAAACTGTATCTCTAGAATTTTAATCCAAAAAGCTTAGAGTGGGATCCAACCAAAAACACTATACGGTTGTCATCATAAGCAACAAATTTTAGTTCCCACCACTTGTTTTGTTTAAGCAGTGCCTTGGAGCTTCTATCGACCTGTAAGCTAGCAAACTTAACTGTGAAGGCAGAGCTTGGTTGCTGCTTGCTCCATAGGGGTGGAAGGCTTACCATTGACGGTTGTATACTTCAATGTGAGTCGAATCCTTTGGATTATCTCTCGTGCCCAATTGTCAGTACAGCTAAAAGCTGTGTAACACAGTCTCTGATGAAAAGTAAAGGTGATAGTGTTTCTGTTCTGCAAACTCGAATTGAAGGAGGTGCAAAGGCAGTTTTGACTAGTGGAGATCTAGTTCTGCAGCGAGTTCGAGTTATTTATGCTAGAACTTATCTGTATTTCTGGTTTGATGTAGACCATAAGTGATTACTGTATTGTATTTTCTTTGCATTGCATGTAAATTATCCATTGTTCAAAAGTTACTTTTGATTTCACATACTGGTGTCATCTTTATCATACTTTTAGAATTACTTTTAGAATTATTTTGTAACTTATTATATTAAAGTGATTGATCTACTTCATCTAATTACATACTTGTTTCATTAATTTCTGCTCTTAAACTTAGTAATTGGTGCTTTAATTATGTGTTCCAAAGCTTATGTCCATATCTTGTTTTTGTGTTGTGCATTAACACAATGAATTGATTATGCTAGGAAATGGTATTGGCATTTATAAATGGAATGAGGTTATAGGGGTGAGCACAGGTAAAGGGTAGAATCAGAATCGACCTCATTAGGGTCCGGTTCTGATTCCAATTCTGGAAAATTGGAATCGAGAATTCTTGGATTTGGTTCCAGTTCTTACAGTATTGGAATCGAGAATTGGAATTGGAACTAGAACTGGAATCGAGGTTCGGGTATTTGAGTATGAATTGGGACTAAATTGTAATTTTTGTCAACTATTGGGGGTAATTTACTTGGGTACCCAGAACCGAAACCGATCGGTTTCGGTTTCGGTTTCAGTTTTGATTTCGGTTTCGATTCCTAATCTTAGGAGCTGATCAGTTTCGGTTCCAATTCTAGTTCTTTCAAAAAATGTAGGGTACTTAAAACTGATCACCGCTAGTTATTGGCACTCCTTAATACCCACAAAACTAGTTTTCATTAAACCATTGTATTTATATTTATTAAATTGAACATTAACTTTTATTACAATACTCCATCATTATACTAATGAGTTATTTTCACCTTTGCATAACAGATTTTTCGAATCTAAATGATAGCAACCATTGTAAACAAAGTCTTTACACCAGTGTTTTAAAACCCGGTTTAGCCCAACTGCTTGAACAAGTTCAACTGGGACCTGGGGCTTTCACCAAGCCAGGTTATCAATTTTACTATTCATCTAAAGCCTAGAAATTATGACAACAATGAATGAACAATTGAAGGTTGGGATGCTGGGGGTTTTAAAGAGGAAGAGCCAGTGAGTGCATGGTGGCGACGGAGGTGCATTTCGGTGAGTGAATCGACTGAAAATAGCAAAAATAAATGGCCAGCTGAAATGGGGAGGAGTGAGATGTATTTTGGTCAGGAGGCTGAGGGGAGTGTTTTCATGGTGATGGGGAAGTATTATCGTCGCCAGAAACAAGCCCTATTTGCCCTAGTTTGTTGACGTCGGTGGTGGTGTTTAGGGTGTTTTTGCAAGATTTTAAACTTATAGGGACTTATAAATTTTCTAGGCTGTTTTTGTTTAATTTCAAATTTTAGACACCGGGTCGGTCAAACCGGTCAACTTGGGATCCGACCACTTTGCCAGGTTTTATCCCCGGTTGGTTATTAAAACATTGCTCCAAAGCAAAAACTCAATGTTGGCATTTACTTCGTTGAATGATGGAAACGGGAACAGAGACAGGTATGGGAAATGAGAATGGGAATGGGAATGGGAATGGGAATAATATGAAGAAATAAAATATGATTATGTCGTTTACTTTTACAATAATACTAGATATACAAAGAAATCTTATAAAAATTTATGTACAAAGTGATGTGGCAAGAAATGAATGGAAGAGTAAATATGATGAGTTTGACTTTTTGTGTTCACTCTTTCATTCATTTCTTGCTACATCACTTTATATATAAATCTTTATAAGATTTTTTTATACACGTAGCATTACTCTTACTTTTAGCCATGAATAGTAATGGAGTACAATAAAATCTTGCTATTTTAAATTTTTTGGGCGAAAATATCATCCAATGGAATTCATTAAAAATTAATTAGATAAAACATAGCCCATAGTTTAAAATTATTCCATAAAACATTTATATTAAATTTAGATGATATCATTAGAGATAATATAATATTAATTTATTTAATTTAATATAAATATAATTTTATTTACGGAAATAAAATATAAAAAAAATTATTTCCATAAAAAAATTCAAAATCGATCAACCGTCAATCAACAACTTTGACCGTTGCCATAATCTTTCGGATGATGTCATAGCTAGCACATGATGGACAATCAGCCTAACAATCTATGGATTTGACTGGCGAAGTCGCTGGAGATGATGTCACGTGCAATGGCAAAAATAGAGATGGAAAAGGGGCCCGGCCCGTGGCCTATTTGTATAAAAGGGTCAACCCAACCCGGCTCGTCAACCCTAACTCGATGGGTTTTTGTGCGGGTCGGGCCGAGCTGGCCAAACAAATTTTTTTTTTAATGTTTTTTTTTTTTGTGTAATTTGTTTTAGTTAACTTTCAAATATCAATTAAATTAAATTAATTTTTGTTTAGTTAACATTGCAAATATTAATTCAATTTTAATACAATTAAATTATAATATAAGCAAAATTAGATTTATTCATTTATAAAAAAATAAAATAAGAAATAAGAAATTACAATAATTATTTCCTCGTTAAAAACCTTACCAAGAAAAACTCAATTGGAACAAAAACTTGGTAAGGAAAAAAAAGTGCAATAATTGACAGTTAATTTATAAATTACAAAGTTACAATTTACAAAACAACTAATTTGAAGGTTCATTAGGACCTCTTTCATATATATCATATAAATTATAAAATTGAAATGATTTTATTAAAAGTATCGTTGACAACCTCGTATTAATCCTGATGACGCAACCATTCTTAATTTCAAAGACATATGAGGACTTCAATCATTTTTTGTGAAAGTTTAGTCCTCGTTTTATTTAAAATTCTTCCACTTGCACTAAATGTTTATTCAGATGAGACGGTTGAGACAGGAACTGAGAAAACATCCAGGGCAAGTCTTGATAGTACCAAAAAAAATACATTTTCTAGTTTTCCAATATTCTAAGACATCAAAGTTGGCTCTTTGTTGTGGATCTACTAGTAGCAAGTCAAGAGGTCCCAAATATTGGTGAAACTCGTTACTCTGCAGCTGCATGGAGGACATTATATTTGTTGTTGATGCTTCTAAAGAGGAGGCTATGCTTCGGGTTCGGGTCTTCTTTTGCCCATTAATTGTACTCTCAGAGTCGAAGTTGAAGTCTTCATTTGTGTCTTCTGCTAGTACTTCCTCGGGTATTGCACCTCTTTACTAGTTCACATACCTGCTTTCATATTGCAAATATACATTTGCAAGACACTGTCTTATCTATCCTAGTTGATTGGCATACGCTTCTTCTTATAAATCTTCACTTAACATGTCTAAAACATTTTCTAAACCCACTAATTTAATCATAGGGTCAAATATGACAACTAAATAATAAAAAAAAAAAGAATGGGTTTCCAATATTTTTAAATTTAAATTTCATTGCTTTTATTGGTCTCGCTAAAATTTCATTGTGTCTGTTTCAAGCAAATAAATTTGAAATTTTTAAAATTGTATGTATTACCAATAGGCTAGTAGGATAATACACACTTGAAAGTTTTAAAGTGACAAGATAAAAGACTTTAAGAAAAGAATGAAATTTTTGAGTTATATGTCGATCACTCTCTACCAAATAATGAGAACCCCTTTACTTGCTACAAAAGAACTAATTAAATTGGCATAACGTAAATATGAATCAAGCATTAAATAAGTATTATTCCACCTAACTGGGATGTCTAATGCAAAAGTTCTAGGAGACAAATTTGAAGTTTTACAAGCATCTTGAAATTCAAAATTTCTTCTATTAGTACTAGTAATCCAAGCTAAACAATCTTTAATTCTATCAATATTATTTCTAATTCTTTTCATACCAATTTTTACAATTAAATTAATAATGTGACATGCACAATGTTAGCGAAAAAACTTCAAATTGTCATAAAAAAGAAAATTTTGTTTAAAAACATCTACAACTCTATTATTAGCACTTGCATTATCTAAAGTTAGACTTATTATTTTGTGAACAATATCATATTATTCTAAAACTTCAACAATTTTATTATAAATTTGTTGACCACTATGATCCACATTCATTAATCTAAATCCCAATAAAGATTTATTTAATTTACATTCGTTATCAAAATAATGACTAGTCACACAAATATAATCTTGTTTAGCTCTACCGCTCCAAATATCAGCGGTTAGAGCCACTCTAACATGACAACTATGTTTTTCATTTCTTAATTCTAATTTTATTTTCTTAAACAATTTTATTAAATCATTTCTAGTCGAAATTTTAGAATAAGTTTTAAATTCTGGTAAAAATGAATTTTTAATAAATAATACAACTCGTAATCAAACGATTATGGAAAAGTCTTAACTCGGCTCGCCACTGCAATAGACTAGCATGAAATCTCGACAAGTTGCGTCAGCCTGTCTGTGAGCAGGAACAGAAAGTTTTTCGACCACACATGGCGACAAATTGAGTATTCATACGTTACTCATCCAAAAGCGTATACGTTACTAAACCTCCAACTAAACAACAAAATATAAGGCCACAGACTCTCGTCAGTTCAATAAAATTTTAACCAACCTGAACTTCAACCAAACAAACCCAAACCAAAAATAATGTCGGAGACTGTATTCTCAAAACTCTCCGACGATGTCATCCTCAACATATTCTTCAAACTGGAGGACGACCCAAGAAACTGGGCCCGCCTGGCCTCTGTCTGCACTAAATTTTCTTCTCTTATTCGTAATATTTGCTGGAAGAACAAGTGCTCTAGGAGCATGCCCGGCGTTGTCGCCGATCTCCTTTCCACTGATTCGGCCGCTCCACTGGACCTGTGGTCGTCCCTCAATAAGCTTTCCGTCTGCTGCCCAGGCCTCCTTCACTCTGGCGTTTTGTTAGAGAACTCAGATTTCGGCCTCGAGCGTGAGCTGGGCCCTGATGCAAATTATCAAAGTTCTACTAGGATCCAATCAGCCACTCCGTCAACCGACACTGGCTCCAGCAATCTAGAATCTGGGACTCTTCCTGCTGATTGTTCCTGGTCACTTTTTGACGATCTTTATTTTGACACTGTTTATAATAATTCTGAGGCTCAAGATGATTGTGGGTTTGTTGTTGATGACGTTGCAAATTGTGTGGCTGAAGTGGGTCTCGACGTTTCTTCTGGTAAAAAGAGGAAATTTTGTAGCAGATCGGTTAAGTCGCATTTGGCATCTGGGGTTTGGAATTTGAGTCGTGAGCAAGGCAATAAACTTCTTGCCAGTAGATTTCGAGGGGATTGTTTGTACATTTCTGACTGGCCAGGTTGTGTTCACACCGAAGAGAAGCGAAATTACATGCTTTTTAGAGGCATTTTCAAGAACTTTAAGCGCTCTCGTGTTTGGAGAACCATAAACGATGGCAATCGGAGCAAAATTGATATCAGTTGCGCATTTTGTCCGTGTAAAGAGACCTGGGACTTGCATTCTGCATTTTGTTTGAGAAGGGTTTTTGGGTACCATGACGATGGTGAACCTGTTGTTAGAGCTTATGTGTGTGAAAATGGCCATGTTTCTGGGGCCTGGACAGAGTTGCCATTGTACACTTGATGCTGTTTTTCACTTGCTTGGTATTGTTATAGTTTCTCTCAGTATTTGTATTTCTTTGCTTCTGGTTTTATTATGTTATTACAATTGCAATGGTTTATTTGTTAAATTTGCTTTGAATTCTAATAAAGAAATGTGTGCTTTTAGCGTTGGTCAATGTGTTATAGGTTTTCTTTTTCTTTTCTTTTTATGAATTGTTGATGAACTCTGTGGGAAACACTCTTCGAGATTGTGATGATGGGTAATTAAATTTTTTAACCGGTTTGCAGCGTTAGTAATATTCCATACTATCATAAGATTTTTCTATTTATATCAATGGAAGAATTTTGATGTTATGAAATGTTATAACTTATCATCATATTACATCTCTGTATATAGATCTCTTTTTGGTCTCCATCTGCTTGACTTTAATATTAGTTCAGTTGTAATATGCTGGTCAGAACTTATGGTAGTTGAACAAGGCCTTAATGTTGTTCTATTTGTTTTACTATGATAATGCAGGACTGGCCATCTTGTGAAGTAATATGCATTTTATTAAGATATTGATTATCTGTTACTGCATTTTTTAGGTTTCAATGATAAATTTCTAGTAAAAGATGGAGTAGCAAAAATATGCAGGCCTGAAGGTTTTGGAAGCTAAACAGTTTATTTTATACCCGTAAGGCAGTATTACTAGTGCATTATCCTCAATGAAAATGCTGATGAATGCATCTTTGTTCCATTTTTATGTTTGTCATTTGTGCATTTCACTTATAAGTACTCAACTTCAGATATCAAAATTCAGTTTTTTGTCAATTTGCCATAGCCTCATTAATGTGGTTGTGCACGCCTAATGTTGTGGATTCAATAATGTGATATCTCTGGTTGATAAGATTTCCATTTGTCGTGTGCACAAAAGTTATGATAGAATGAAGATAGGAAAATAATACCTGGTAATTGGATTGGGGTGGGGTGTAGTAAATTCTTTCTAGATACACTGTAACTCCAGGTTACCGACTGTTTTTGGTCTAGTCAAACTAATGAAATTTTTGACTGCAGAACATTGTCTTTATTTCTTGTTTTTGTATGCTCCGTGATAGGATATGATTGTTGGAATTCTGTTCTTTGTTTGTTGCCTGTAAAATTAGTTGTAGTACAGGGAGGCGAGATAATAAGTTGATGGAGAATGATGAAGGAATGATTTGAATAGATATCACTTCATCAGTACGAATGTAAGGAGTTTGAACTTGAATGTAGTCTTGAGTCCTATTCTGTATTTACTGCTACATCTCTTGATTGTTGGGAAACTATCTCATGCTGTATGACCAATGGCTCAGGATTATTATGAATGATATCAACTTGTGATGCCTTAGATTCTGACTATAGGAGTCCGCTAAATAGGTTCTTATGCTATAGAGACATTTCTGCTTCCAAGTCAGAAGCTCATCATGTATGTTCTGTCAATTGCCTTGTGTTATTGATCGGAATCCCAGTACCGTGTATATAATTCGTGTTCAGGCGAGAACTGTAAACGTGCACGATAGCTTGCTCATCTTGACCACCTTATCTTATCTTATGATACCGTAAATAGGTTGAGTGTCTCACAATTTGCTTTTCTTATTTTTTTATCTCAATTGTCAAGTTTCTAATTAAGAGCAGGAAAACGAACCAGACATTTGACGTTGAAGCATAGGTGAAAAATGTTGAATCTATGTATGTGAAAAGGAAAAGGAAAAGGACAAGAGTCAGTGAGTTACAGATAGATGCTTGTGTTTGTTACAGATGGCGCTTTTCTTGGAATCCGTACCACTTAATAGGTATGCACTGTCATGGCTGCACAGAAGCAAAGCTGCCAAGAATTTTATTTGCCTCACTCCCTTTCAACCGTTGGATCCGTTATGCATCAGATCAAACATATCGTGGTGCTATTGCACATTAAAAAAATAATGCCCAAAAATAATTGTTGGTTGTTGAGATTTCTACACAAGTTATTGCTCAATCCCATTGCACAATATGGCAGGGCAAGCTCTGTGAATTGAAGACAAGAAAAAATAGAAGAAAACAATTCATTCTTAACTTTATAAGTATTAATGGTGAGGAAGTTTAGTTCTGATATGTTAAATGTTGAGCTGCAATTGTCGATGAGGGGACCCTTTTTCGATATCAGTCACGGGCTCTATTTTTTTTTTTCAATGAACGGGGTTGAGTTTGTTTATATATATTTCAACTAATCTTTTGAGACTTTAAAACTATAAGTTGGATAAAAACTCTAATAGTTACCCCAATTAACCACCACGAAGCATAGGGCTCTCATTTTCTTTTACCTTCTTTGTTCCCATCACTGCTAAAGACCATAATTTAAGCATCTAATTATCACCAAAGTTTATGTATTTGTCATTTGTCACGATAAAAAACAGGAGAAAAATAAATAGAGTGAAACCTAACCTTTTCTCCAGATATTCAGATTCATAAATCATAACGACTACGTGCAGATTTTTTATTCTTGAACAAATACGTCAAAAAACAGAAGACAGGCCCCCATCAGTCTTCTGGTCCCATTCTTAAAGTGGTCATGAACGAATTTGCACTTGGATTGTAACAGATTTGTCTGTGTACTAATTAATTCCCATAAAGAAGCAGCACCAAGTGTTTTGGATACGTCTAACTCTGGCCTCTGCCTCAGCCTACTCAAAGCCATTTACTTTGCTCGTAAAATATCAGCACGAAGCATTGATTCCTCTGACTGCATCACAGTGAAAAAATGTTTAGACTTTCTTTCTTGCTAATTATTCTGCTTCATTTAGCAGTAACAGGGCTTAGCGCTGATGAATTCAGTAGACATGACTTCCCACCTAGCTTCATTTTTGGCTCTGGCACCTCAGCTTATCAGGTCACTCACTTTTACTTCATATATTTAGCTATTTATTTTATTTTTAAGTTTATACATAGTAAAATAGGCAAAATGTTTACTAGAAAGTTCATTACTTTAATCATAAAATTTATTTTAGAAAAATAAAATATAAAAATCATACAATAGGTGGAGGGAGCAGCAAACGAAGATGGGCGGACTCCAAGCATTTGGGATACCTTTGCACACGAGGGTATGTTTTCTTAACTTTTTGGATTAAAAACTCTACTGAAATTGAATATGCCAATACATAATGTGTAACATACTTGAGTTTTGTTGATTTATGTTAAATTAATCACCTTTAGATACAAGATTTGCATTTTATTTGGGGGATTAGACAAATTTCAAACGAGTTTCTGGAACACTATTGAGGTCTGTTTAACCTGCTACTCATCCTTATTATTTCACAGAATCATCACTCCTCATTATGGTCATTCAATATCTCCCAGTGTAAATATTCTAGGGTGTGGTTAAAATTTAAAAGAGAATAGATAAGTAATTTATGGATCACTATAGTCGAAAGTTAGCTTGAAGCCAGAGGAGACATAGCATGTATGTTCTTCAATCAAAAGTATGTTTCCGATACTTGATTTTCCACCTCTCAAAATTCAGGGAAGGCACAGGGAGCCACAGGAGATGTAGCATGTGATGAGTATCACAAATACAAGGTGTATACATGGTGCCTTATATATGCCGATTCTTTCTATATAACTAAGTCACAAATTCAAATTTCGTTTATCCTTTTTTTGTTTTAGATGCTGTAGCTTGATGGTCTGTATGTAACTAGTTATTCATGTACTTTTGCAGGAAGATGTGCAACTCATGGCGGACACAGGCTTAGATGCCTATAGATTTTCCATCTCGTGGTCAAGACTAATCCCAAGTACAATTTTGAATTGAGACTCTTAACGACCAAATAAGTACTAACCAATATTTGATTAATCTCACATATTTATCCTCGTGTTATTTCTCTCAGATGGAAAAGGACCTGTGAATCCAAAGGGTTTACAGTATTACAACAACCTCATAAATGAACTAACCACCCATGGTGAGACCCAACTTTTCATCAATAATGTCTTAACATCAACTTTTTTCTCTTCACAAATGATAACAGATAGTGTCTTGGAAATATCTTTGTTTTGATCACGCAGGAATTGAACCGCATGTTACGTTATTCAATTATGATCTTCCCCAGGCTCTTGAAGATGAGTATGGAGGATGGATCAATCAAAGAATTGTGTATAATTCTAAACCGTTTGTGATTGGTAAATTGCCTAGCACCAAAAAAGTTGATTGACACTACTTGAATCATCTCTATGCGAATGCAGGAAAGACTTCACTGCTTATGCAGAAGTATGCTTTAGAGAGTTTGGCAACAGGATTTCATATTGGACAACCGTAAATGAGCCCAATGTATTCGTGCTTGGCGGTTATGATCAAGGATATGTGCCACCTCAGCGGTGTTCTTTTCCATTTGGATTCAATTGCTCCAGAGGCAACTCCACCTCTGAGCCATACATGGCACTTCATCATATTTTGTTAGCGCATGCATCAGCTACAAGACTCTATAGGAACAAGTATCAGGTAATATCCAAAAAAAATTATATCATGTGCTTTTCCATCTTTTTTATGACTCAAACAATCATATGATCCAACAAAAAGAATATGCCCTTTCATTTGCATCAAATCCTAAAATAAAATTGTCTTTGCATTAAACTTAAATGTTGTGCCTACACACATTTAATTTTTAGATGTCAGTTTAGGCCATGTCTATGCAAAATAGATTTTAATTGCAACACACAGTGGTGCAGGGCAAGCAGCATGGTTATATAGGTATCAGCATCTACGCATTTGGGGTAGTCCCTCTAACAAACTCAACAGAGGACGTAATTGCTACTCAAAGAGCCAGTGATTTCCTAATTGGTTGGTAAGTTAAGTATCCTGCATAACATAAGAAGGGTTTCTATATATTGCTTTTGGTGGTATTTATGTAACCTGGGTTCTATCTCACATTTGTTTGGATTCTATGATAATGTCACTTCCACTTTGCCCTTAGTTGTTCTAACTTTTCTCGGATTTTTTTTTTTTTTTTTCCCTTTTTAAAGGCCTTAAGTCTTTGTCTGCTCATAATTCTTATAGACTGGCATGTTCTTTCATTTTGTACCCTTTATTTAATTAGTTTGTATGCGGCATTGCAGGGTTGCACATCCATTGATGTTCGGAGATTATCCCGAAATAATGAAGAAAAATGTGGGCTCCAGACTTCCAGTCTTCACCGATCATGAGTCCAAGCAGGTTAAGGGTTCTGCTGATTTCCTGGGATTGATACACTACAGCACAGTTTACATCAAAGATAATTCCAACAGTCTGAAGCAGGAAGTCAGAGACTTTAACGCAGACATGGCAATACAGTTAGTTAACAGTATGTTCTTTACATATTAGTTCTTCACTAAACTGAATGATGGCTCCATTCACTTAGTACTCAAGTTGATTTTCCGTTGAATGAAGTTACCAACCAAAGCTCAGGCTTAGCTATTGATTAATTTCATCCAAGATTTCTACTTGTCGGTTATGATCACCACTCATTTTACATAGCATATAACTCATTGGAATATCTTCTGGCTACTTTAGAAACTAAAGTAATTGATTGATTGTGTTTGTGGCAGCACTACCGGATAATACATCTGCATATGAGGTGGGATTTGAAATACATAATTTTATTATTGGCTTAGTTTAGGTGAGTTAGCTCACTGTATTTCTAATTGGGATTGTTTTATTCAGTTCCCTGTACAGCCCTGGGGTTTGAGAGGAGTGCTGGAGTACTTTAAACAAGTTTATGGCAATCCTCCTATTTACATTTATGAAAATGGTCTGTCTCTAAATAAATAGCTCTGCCTGGAATAGATTTATGCATCAATTTGATCAAACACTTGTAAATCATTCTCTTTTCGTCAATAGGTCAACGGAGTCTGCGCAATTCAACATTGGAAGATATGTCAAGGGTGAAATACATACATGCTTACATTGGGAGTGTGCTTGATGCTGTGAGGTATGCAAATCTTTTACTTTTATCAAACACCTTTTTTTTTTTTTTTTAATTACATTACAGTATAACCTAACTCCCTTTTTTGTTATCTGTTTGAATCCGTAAGAAATGGATCAAATACAAGAGGGTACTTTACATGGTCGTTCCTAGATGTATTCGAATTGCTGGATGGGTATGGATCCAGCTTCGGGCTGTACTATGTGGATTTGAATGATCCTGGTTTAAAGAGATATCCCAAGCTATCTGCCCATTGGTACTCCCACTTTTTGAAGGGAAACATCATCAATTCAGATTATGTTTTCAAACTCAGCAATAATTTATCTACTCTTTGTCATACCCACTGCTTTCAGTAGCTCTAGATACATACATCTATGTAATCCTAGAGTTACTCTTCTTAGTTGTTATGCTGCTTCTCAATAAACCAAATTCTACGATAACAGTATTCCTATCAATAATAAGTTTGCAATATTTCTCTGTTTCCAGTTATTAATTGCTTCATTAAACTATATGCATTAACAATGCCACATGTTTCTGCAGAAACGAATTATTGTTGGCGTTATTTTTTAGTATTATTTTTTTTAATCACTGAAGGTTACAGGATGTGCAGGTTGTTGATTCCTCATTCTTGCAAGAGTAAACGACATTTTCCCACCCAAGGTTTGGCAAATCTACGGTTCCCACCTTTGGTTTCATAAATTGCAGATTCCCACTCTTAAATTAACTGAAAATTATTTAATCTAACAGTTAAAAGGGTAAAATGGTCATTTCAAAGATGAAAATTTCAAAACAACCCTTCACTTCTTAAATTCACGCCACCAAAAAATTTCAAAATAACCTTTCACTTCTCAAATTCACCCCATTGGTGATTTCAGACCATTCCGGCCTGTCTCCAGCACAATCAACCCCTCCCGACACCACCATTACAATCCCCTCAACCCCCACATCAAAACCCCTAACCTTCTCGCCTGATTGAACCCCCCAATTGCCAGCCGTTGCTTTAGTGTCAATTGGCGTTTCATCCAAATTCCGATAGGTCACATCACCAAAAACCACCCCCAAGACCACCAATAGCATCGTCGACTTCCCCCCACCAAAACCTGCAATATCGCTGACTGCAATTGCTCTCCGATCGTCGCTGCCTCTCCCTTAGGTTTTCGCGTTTTGTCACCCCTTTCCAACCAAATTTCGGGTGGAAAAGTTAGGGGTTTTGGTGAGGAGGATAAGGAGATGCTGATGGTGGTGTCGGGGAGGTCCAATGGTGTCGGAATCAGGCCGGATTTTTGGCTTGGCCGGGATCTCCTCTAAGGGTTATTTGAGAGAAATTTGAGATGTCGGAGTTATTTTGAGAGAAAAGTAACGGTGTTAATTTAAGGATGGGAATCTACGATTTATGAAACTAGGGGTGAGAACTTGCAGATTCGCCAAACCTTGGGTGGGAAAATGTCGTTTACTCTTCTTGTAATAAAGTCACTGTTTTAAAAACCGGACTGGACCGGCCGGCCCAACCAATTGGACCGTGAATTGGTCACGTGTCCGGTTCGAGTCACCCTCAAACCCGCTAATATGCATTGAGACGTTTTAAACCGGTTGAAAACCGGATAATCTGAGTGAACCTCCGGTCCAAACGGACCAGCGAAAAAACCGGTCCACAATTTAAATCCCTAATACGCGACAATCGTCTTCTCTTTCACGCAGCCCTTTCTTCTCTTCTTCTCTGTCACGTAGCGTCGCAGCCCTTTCTCATCTTCTTCTCTTTCAGTATTTCTCACGAAAATTTCTCAGCAAACACTCTAATCTCTGTGAAAATTCTCACGGTTTCGGCTCTGTCTTCTGTTCTCTCTGAAATCCCACCTAAATCGCATCTGAACTCGCCGGAAATTGACGACGACATCTTCCTCCCTCGTTGAAAATCGACGACGTCTTCCTCCCTCACTAGAAATCGATGGCAACAGCTCCATTCGTCGATCCAGGTAACGCCATTCCTCACTCTCTTTACATTTAAGTTAACACCCTTTTCATTTTTCAATCTATAGAGCTGTTGTGGTTGTATTAACATGATCTTGAGGATGGTTCTACTTTGATTCAAGTATATTTGCACACAAAAAAAGTGCAAGGAATTTAATTAGTGCATTGCACCAAACAGAGCCTAATCAATAATGTCACTCTCCATGATGTTACTTGCCTCCAAAGATCATTCTATCTATTGGATCATTTAACATAAAGTTTTTTTTGGCAATTTTTTTCTTTCATTAAGATTATATTAATTTGTCACAAGCGTCTTAGCTTATGTGTTACGTTTCAAAATTTGATTCCTATCTTATCATATGATCTATTTGAATTTTAAAATAAACTCTCAGTTTCTTCACACAAACTCCATATCTGCCTGCATTTGAATCTCTCTCTTACTCTTTCTTAGCATGAAGCGATCACTATTTGAAAGTAATAGCAAACTGGATGGAATTAATGACAATGTTAATTAAAGTCTCAACTCCATTGTTTCAAGGACTATATATGCGATATGTTCCCCACAAATAATTAGAACCAAATATTATAGGTGTTGGGATCTTTTAATTTCTGTAGAACCAGATATTGATGTTAAAAATCAGTCCTTGATTGATTCCACTACAGAAAGTTCAATGCTCTACCACTGATTGGATGTAGAGTTTGCAATATTTTTTTGAAAATGCTGATACATGACCAAGAGTTTAAACAAAGATGAAAATTGCTTTTGCTGAGAGACTGTAGATGATTAAGTAATTGGATTAGCTAGTATAGATTTTCAGGTCATAAAAAGCTTCCCGTAGCTGATAGTTGTTATGATAGTTTTTTTGCATTCTGAGGCTTGCTCCTGTTAGCATACGCTCATGAAAGACTATCAAAAAGTAACTTGAAGGAAGAAGCATTAGGAGCCTAACTTCTGACTCTACCTTGCCTGTGAATCTGCATTAGTGTCCTTTCAATCAGCAGGTTTTGGTGGGGCACTGAAATGTAACTATCTAATTTTTAAAATTTGATGGTGAGTTCCATTCATATATAGTTTTGCAAAATCTGGTTAAACAAGATAGGATATCTGCAGATTGGGCTGGCATACTCCATTTTAAGTCATTCTTTCGTGGCTGTGATTGTGAGCATAACTTTCTATCACATTCAAACCTAATAGTTGGTACTAGCACTGTAGTAATCATATTCTTTCGTGGCTGTGGTTGTGAGTGACGACAAGTTTTGTTTTATGTTACATTTATATGCCATATAAAAACAATTAACAATGTATTTTGTATTTGATTCTTTTGATGGTGGTGATAGTTATGATGATGATGATGATGATGGTGATGAATTTTGATGCTAGTGTGTGAAGCTCAATCAACATGGAGACGGATCAAAGAAAAAACACTTGCATCAAATGTTTTGTTATTAATTAGTATGTATTTTGACATTTAATATGTAAATACAATATCATGTTTGGATTTGGACTTTGAATTGTTGTTAAATACTTAAATTATGTTAGGATTGTTGTTGAATTTGAACTTTGAATCATATTGGATTGGACAATAATTAAGTTGTTATTATCTTATTAAAAAATAGAAATCTAAAAAAAAAAAAAAAAAGTTTTTTTAAAAATGTGCTGATGTCATTATGATGTGTGATGACATCACCGGTCCAACCGACGGTTGGACCGGTTAAACCGTGACCCTGCCATCAAAGCGGGTTGCCCATCGGTCCAGTTTTTAAAACAATGAATAAAGTTCGTGTAAGATCCCAGAAAATCACCAGAGATCTTATATTCAGCCCTCATTTGAACCATGGTTACACAAATTTTGATGAACGAATTTAACAGAACCATGGTCTTTTAACTGAAGTTCTAAAAAAGAGAATTTTCTCTATCACGTAGAATAGTATTCCACGTGATGTGAATGCGATGATTTAATGAACTTATCAAATCATTTATTGTTTATAGAATACAAAGTTTAAAAAAGTGATAATAATAATTAAAGTGACAAATAACGTAACAGTGCTATATTAAATTCACATTGATCATCCAAAACTTGAAATACAATTGGGAATATGAATATCACTGTACAGAGTTAAAGGCTTAACCCTTTAATTTGTGTTTAATCATTAATGAACCATCCGCCCGCGAAATGGCGAGCCTAATGCAATGGCGGTTGCCCTCTCACTCCAACTTCAACTTTGAAGATGGATCGTATCAACAGATTAAACTGAAGACCCGCACGAAAATATCTGAAAAGTGGAAACAAGTACAAATTGCATTTGCACCAATACTTTAACTGCCAAAACGTTGAGTTTCGGGGGCCACAGGATAAGGCAACTTTCCCAGGATTTACAAAAATGGACAACAGTTTCAGGGCAAGTATGCCCAAAATTTACAAAAGAAGAGTTTCACAGTTCACATATTTAACTTTTTAAGTTCCAGTCATCAAGTTCGGATGCGTGCAATTCACGCAATTTTCTGACAGGCAGGATAAACGTTCAAAGGTTTTTTATCCCATCCTCTTAAGAGGAGTGCCTATGCCAAAAGCTTCCTGACCTGTTCCCCGAGTCTGAGGCCCCACTATTCTGATGAAACGAACCCCAATTTGAGTCTCTTATTACAGCAGGGAAACGAGATAACCTCTCTCTTTCCCATACATGAAAATGATTCAAAAACGGACTTTCTGCTTCTTGTAGGTTCTGCCCCGATGAGCTTGGTGGAAAGATATAGAAGTTACCATTCTGATCATGTTGGGGGGGTGCTGGCACTACTGCAGGCAAGCTCCTTGGACCATCAAATCTCCTCAAACCTGGCACTACAGGTGTGGGCAACCCTGCTGAAATACTTGACTGCTGCTGAGGAAGGAAGGAATGAGAAGTGTTTAGAGCAGTGCTGCCAGGATGACGAGGAACGACTGAGGAAACAAAGGAGCTCCCAGCTCTAGGACCAGACCTGAGGAAGTACAGGCATGCATGATTAGCATTCCAGTGATCAACAGGCATAAAGGAAAAAGGTGGGGTCTTTTTGTGCCTCTTGTAAGTAATACATGTCCTGTTGGATACGGTGAAGACATCATACTATTCCGAAAAATGTGAAACATAATAATAGTAAACACAAAAGTTGCAGGTTGTTAGAGGTTATAATCAAAGATTGATAAATGCTTCTCACTATTTATATCATTCAAGATATGTCACTTCCAAAAACATATATCTACAGATTGGCAAGAAAAAACATATATTGATAGAGAAGAAGAAGGGAAAGAAAGAAAAAAGATAAATAATTAAAATCAACCTTACCCAAACACTGGCAGGAAAATAAGAAAAAAGACAGTCAAGCTCAACCTAGCCAACAGCTTACCCATGATCAAAGGCAAATGGATGTGGAAAAGATCTGGACATTGTTACAGCATCAGATTCACCATGAGAAGATCTAAGCGTGGCAGGTGGAAGAGAAGCCGGATCAGCACCGTTTATATGGCTACTGGATATGGCGAAAGGGGGGGAATGACGACCCCAACTATGGTACTGGATGGCAGGAAATGCATGGGGAGGAAAAATCTCATTGTGTCCTGATGGACCGTTCCAGTGATAATTTAAAAGGGGATCATCAACATTATTGCTAGATCTCGAGGTTGTAGGCGGAATTGGTCCGACATATGCAACGTATGAATGAGCCATAGATGCTGCTTCTTGTTCAGCGAATAAGGGATGGTGTCCCCGTAGGTCATGTCTATAGGATAAGATATTCATTTACATGGTGTTGTTGTTTTTGGTGGTTGTAACAAAGTTGGCTAGGAAAAATTATCAGGAAAGGTAATTCAAAAGTAATATATTACATGTAGTTGAGGAGGTTCCACCCCCCTGAAAGATATAAAGCATAAATATGTCAGAAATAGTTCAACAGATGTCACTATGGGAGGACACTGTTAATGGTTCAGAAAAAAAGTAGAGGGGATGCTTTTGAGACAAGTATACCAAGTTCTCTTTGTTTTACAGTTTCAATAAAACATTTCAACATAGAATTGTAAAAATCCAACACAAGAAAGCAAGATAAGTAGCACCAAACAAAAGTAAAACAACACACAAGATTGAGGTAAAAACCATCTAATGAACAATCAACCCAACAGATCTGCCATGAATACAGAAAACTGATGGCCAAATCCCCACCTAAAATCTACAAATTTACCATTCAACAGTACACATTTTCCACCTACAGTAAATGCTCTGATTGCACTTCTTTTCCTTGAAGGTGATGAAGTTTAGAAAACACAGTATATGCAAACAAAAATGGTAGCAACAGAATATCAAATAAAGGAAACGCAAGAAGGGGAGTGTTGCTTACTCAAATGATGATCCAACTCGTGCCAATGTCACCAAAATGGGCACCCAGTGAACTTAAAGGGCTGCCACAACAATTAGATGAGTAAGATGATCTCAATCACAAATATCATGAGCAAATTGCACTTTTAACTGTCAGCCAATAACTTCCAGAAATAGCACAAAAGATGCACCAAAGAATCAATGTAATATTACATTTACATCCTCCTAGTGAAGGAAAAAGATATAGCCTTAAGAGCCTCTAGTCTCAAAAAAAAAATGAAAAAAAACCGAAAGAAAAGAAAGAAACAGTTACTGATATACCAAGAATAATGTAAGTCACCATTAAAATCGAGTAAAACTGTGAACTTGTTAACTCTTGGAACATACTAACCTCAAAAGATATTGTTTTCAATAATATGAATGGAAGAAACCGTCTAATGCCAACTAGAACAGGTAAATCTAACCTGACTCAGATGTCAGTGAATATAAAAACATAAATTTAAAAATGGAACTATGAAGACAGAAACAAACATAGAAGCAAATGATAAATCAAGGAGCTGCCAAAGTCCATGATGCAAAAAACAATCTGTAAAGTTTTTGGACCAGAAGTCAAACCTCAATGCCTGGCCCAATGTTATACATTGCATTGGCATTAGGAGTTCTATTAGGAGTCTTTTGCCATATCTCACTGAAACTAGAAACTTCTAAACCAGAAAACTCATAACATTATGTGTTTGAAAATAAATACATTTAAAAACTTTACATTCTTTATAGAAATTCCAAAGCCAAAAGTCAGGACTTAAAGAAACTGAACATGTAGAGATAAATTGGCCTGAGACACAAATGGCGTTAACCAAAAGACAATTCAGAATATATAATCAGCCAGTACAAAATGCACAAACAGAATTTTATGTCTTATATAGAGAACAGAACACTCCTAGAGATAAGACAATCCACTTAATTGTGTTCACCGTTTCAAAATAGAGAACAGAACACCACTTGAAACAAGACAATATGCTTAATTGTGCTTACCATTTCAGAATAACTTAGATCGTAGAAGTCTTCATCGGGTATCCAGTCTTCCATGCTAAACTCAGGAAGTGAACGAGCAGAACCATTGGCATACAACCACTGACCTTTTTCAACCTTCCGACAATTTGGGCATTGCATAGCTCCCTTCATATTAAATGCTGAACCAATGCAATCTGCAAAATAGAGTACAATTTACAGCTACAATTATGCATCACAAAAAACCAATTGTAATACATGTGAAATACTAGTCAGATAAGTGGAATAAATCTAAATGCATGGATGCTTTGAGCAAGCATCATAAATACAATCTCCACCTAAACTCTTTCTATGTCCTTTAAAAGAAACAAGGCCGGTCAACAATTGCACAGTTCACAGTCAGGAAACAAATTAAATATAATAGCTTCATATGAACACAGTGTAGAATTTAAAATCGCAATGTTAAGTATAACTTTAAACTCAAAGTACTACCGAGATTGGTGTTGTATCTGCATACAATATGAGTGGGACACAAAGCTTATCCAGATTAAAATAATTTTCATATCTCAAATTAAAAGCAGCAAGAAGATAGAAACAAAATTTATATTTCTAATGTTCCATTATGAAAAAAAAAAAAAGCACCCCCTTAATTCTCACAAAAGATTGCCATATTGACATTACCATACACCATGAGTTTTAACCAAATAAAACAAAGTAGTCATGTCAATAAAATTAAATAAAGCCTCACTGAGTTTTCAAAAGTGTCACAGGGATCAATTTTCACCAATGATGACATCTCTATGTCCCTAAATTAGGAACATTTTGATTTTATGGCCTTCAACATTATCTCCATAACCCTTAAACCCAAGCCTAATCACATTCCCCATCATGTTCTTCGCAAATGGAAACATTCAACTCTGATATATTTTCTCTTTGGCCTTTGCAGTCTGATCGCATAACACCACAGAATCTGAAATCTAACACCAATTCGTTGTGACTTATTCAAATTATTGGGACTGAAAAAACGCAAATCCTTTACAGTATAAAAAAGTCACAAGTTTTCTCCACCCATCAATTCGCACCATTTATAGACATTAGCGAACCTTTAAACACTTATACGAGATCTCACTAAGACCTATTGATAATCTTCAGACAATCCCAGTTATAATCACATTTTCATCCCGTTTATTTTCTCCAACACCAGAAAGTTTTAAATACTCACCCAATTTCCAAAAATTGAAAAAATAATGATCGACAGTTAACAGCAACTACATTAAACGGGAACAGAATTGACATGCAAAAATCATTAATTGCTGCACAAAATAAATATAATGGTCAACATGCATGTTAAAATCAGAATACCCAAAATTGAAAATAAAAAGCTGACCGAGATGGAATTGATGGCCACAATGGAGCTTAGCGGTGGATCTGGTACCATTATCAGAGACAGAGTCAAGACAAATCGAGCAGGAAACCAAAGAAGAAGGGGGCTCAATAGCTTGATCATCATCATCATCATCACCAGCAGCAGCGTCCATGGGAGGACGACGATGAGTGGTCGTGGCTATAGAGCCCACCATGTTGTCGTTCGTCCACCAATTGAAACCCAAAAATTACAATCCTAAGCGACAAATCTGAAAACTTTTATGCTCTTTTTTTTTTATCTCTATCCCTATATCTATCTCTGTCTGTGAACCCGAAATCTATCTGTGTTTCTCTTTCCGACCTGTCAGATTACGTGGTTAAGACCTTACATGGACTGCCTTTGAATTTAATATCATCAATTCATCATCATCAAAATGGACGGTCTCCTTTTTTTGTTTCATTCTCTTTTTTTACATTCTAAATAAAATACTTTTGACTATACGTTAAGTATGTCCTGAGTTAAGCGACTCCGTTTTAACCGCGAAGCTTCTATGTTCTATCACAATTTTACAACTCTTTTTTTTTTTTTTTTTTTTAAATTTTGATAAATATTCTATTAAGGCTTCATATATTATGAATAATTTAATTTCTTTTCTATTTTAATTTATTTATCATATCTTTTATCTTATTTTAGGAAGATTATTATTAGCTTTAGGTTATTTTAGGAAATACTATTATTAGTTTCATTCCTAATTAGGGCTTCATATATTTTCCTTATTATATTATATTTTGATTTATTTTTCCTAATTTTTAGGAAGATTGTTATTAGTTTTAATCAAACTAAGATTGAATTGAAAAACTCTCCTTAAAGATAATATTATAATTGGATATTGTCATTTTATATATTTTGATAAATAAAATTCATTAGTTTTTAACATATGGCCTAGACATTATCATTCCTTTGTGATTTCGTGGTCAAATTTATAACAACAAATCAAGTCATAAACGAGGGATTATAATGATAATGACAAACAAAATAAATCCCGAATTTCACACTATAATAGAGATCATTGATAACTTTGATTTTCATAGATAAATTTAAATTCTCTAAGTCATAGTTTTTTTTTTTTTTTTTTTTTTAGCAATCGAAGTATTCAAGTCAGCTTACATGAATCTCAACTAATCTCTAGAATTCATTAAATACCTTACAAACCTAAAGGACTAGATAAACCACAATATTATTGTGGTAAGTAACCTCAAGGTTTGAATCGAAAAACTGAAGAAAGAGAGTAAATTTTTTTGACCGTCAAGCCAACCCCTCAACTTTAAAGCCTAGAGTTGATATAATTCAATCCCTACTGAAACTCCGTATTATTGGTATCCTTAGGCCATCCTTATGGAAGTTAGGGTATAAGATATAAAATGTTATTATTATAAGTGGAGTGGTTGGAATTAAATTAAAGGGTTGATTTGCTTCCATCTTCGGGCAGGCTGAAGTAGTGGTAGTGGTGGTGTGCATGTGAAACTTGTCATGTTTATGAATTCTCAATTTAGAGTTTCATTGAGCATCATATATTTCTCCAAGCCAATAACATGTTGTATTACAATTTCAATAAATCAAAAAGTTGGCTATCAAATTATTCTGCCCATGTGTAACCAAGCATCACTGAAAGTGTTACTTGTTCATTCATCCAACACGAAAACAAGGCAAAGTGGTGAACTCTGGGTATGTTCAGCTGCGGGACTTTTTGTTACCACGCTCCTTTCCGGGAGTTTGTTTTCTCTTACTGTTTCTAGGTTTTGTCCAGTAGCAGATTGTTTGTAGCCTCTTGAGTTGCCCTTATTTTTTTGGTTTATAAAAGCTTAATTATATATATATATAAAAAAAAAAAGAAGTTAGCACATTGATGTGCAGTATGTAATTATCTGAATATTGGGATGTTTATATTTTGTAAAGAGAGTGACGGTGAGTCTATTATGCCTAATTAGTTTAGAAGGTTACATATAATGTGTAGGGTTTCAAAGTTGAGCTTCCTTTCGGTATTTTCTACTTACAGCAATGTTAGTCTTATAAAGAAGCCTACAAAGTTAACCTCCACCCTTCATCTTCATCATTTCTCTCTCTCTCTCTTTCTCTTTTTCCGTTTTTCCTTTGTTTTTTTCTTCACTTGGTAAGTTTTTTTGTAGAGTTCTTTGTAAGGATAGACTTATTCTTTCTACTTATTAATGCCAAATGCTCGTACAAAGATGCTGAGACTGGGCTGGGAATACTTGCTATGAATTAAAGAGAGCCAATTTCTTATATTTGCTTTTGCTAGTATTTTCATCCTTTTTTTTTTTGTTTTTGTTTTGGGTAATGGAGGTAATACATGCTATGAATTACAGGAAGCCAATTTCTTGCATTTGTTTTTGTTAGTATTTTCCTTTTTTTATTATTTTTTTTTGGTAACTGAGATATTCAGATCAGTTTGTAAGCACTTCAATTAATCATTGGATTCATTAAACACCTTACAAGTCTAAAAGACCAAGTAAGTCATAATGTGATATATGATCTCAAGAGAACCTAATAAGTTAAGAGCGGGACAAATCTCTTTAACCATCTTACTAACCTCTTTAACATTTAGTATTTTCCTTTTCACACGTGCTTAGATAAGAGTGCCAATATCTTGAAGATAACCAGCATGTACTTGGAATATTTCATATTATTTTAATAATGAAGTTTTTTGGAATATTCAGTAAGAGATTCGTGATAGAATATTAATAAACACAATAGAGGAAAGTGTTACCAATTTGAACTAGACAACTTAACAGGATGCAGCTTTTTGCAGGGCTGTGAGTTGATTTGTTGCGCATACACCCTCTATTCTTTTATAAAATCAAATATATCAGTTCATATATTATGTAGTTATCGGAAATAACATTATGATATGGTAGTAGTATACTTGATACAAATATATATATTACATTAATAAATAAATGAAAATGCATAACTAAACTCAACACAAAGAATAGAAAAAGAAAGAGATTATATTATAACAAGTAATAAGAAAATACATAATCAAAACATCGAAATTCATTCTAGAGGAAATAAACCAAACCAACCACCCCTTGTGGCCTGATAGAGTGAAGAATAGATTGAGGAGTTAAAAGACTAAGAGATCTTGAGTTTAAGTTGTAGTAAAAACAAAAAACCAAACCTTTGGCTCTTCTTCTTAAGACAAAGTTGTCAATTTTTCAGACACAAAGATGTCTCTTGCTCTTCAACAACAAAGCTGTTGATTCTCAGCCTCACAATACAAATACTGGTTCCAAAAATCTCCATCCTTTCCAAGTTGTTTCATCATCATGTCCATTTCCTTGTCAGTTAGAAGCATGTTTATCATCTCAATAATGTCGGCATCCAATGCAAAAACAAGCTGATGCGATTCTTCACATTATGCTTCTGCGATATACTTGTCAAGTCTGATGGTCAAGGAGATTTGCTCATTTTATCAAGTTTTTGGGTTCAAATCTTAGAGTCACCCACAACATTATGACTTGTCTAATCTTTTTAAACCTGTAGGGTGTTCAATGGACCCCAAAAGTTAATTGATGTATACGTAAGCTGGCTCAGATACCCCGATTATATATGTGTATGTGTGTGTGCGCATGTGTCTGTGATTGATATTTATAACATTAATAATCTCATAATAAATAATACATAATAGATTTGTAGCATTGAATGTAGAAACTACTAACATAAAACATCAATGCTAGTAACTATTCATTTTGTATTACTAATTTATATATTATACACAGTTGAGATCATCCCAAATGATGGGGTTGCTTACATGTTAGTACTACGATAATTAAGATATAAGATAAATTAATAACTTCCTAGTAATTAATGTGGTGCCAAACTAGAGCTGGGTATTTGGGATCGGGCCCAAAAGCTCTACCCCAAAACCCAGTCCTAGGAGGCTTGGTCCCAAAACAGGACTAGGCCTAAGGAGGAGGGCCCAGGCCCTCCACTGGGCCCTCCTCCAAGGCCCGAGCTTGGGCCCAAATTTTTTTATATTTTTTCCATTTAGTCTCATGCACAATTACTAAAAACCTCTGCTAATTTTAAATAAATATAAATTACGAGGGTTAAAATTTTTTTTACAAAAATTATTAAAAAAAAAATAAAGTTTTATAACCGTTGGCCGACAACGGTCACATGCCATCCAACGGTTATATTAATTATAACTTCTTTTTTTTTTTTCATTTTTCCCCCCACAACTACACTATAAATAACTCTAAAATCTTTCATTTTTTTCACACCAATCAATCTCTCATTCTTTCATTCTCTCAATCTCTCTACTCCAAATCTCCAATCAATTTCTCATTCAATTTATATTTATATTTATAATTTATTCATATTATTTATTTATATTATTCAATTTTTTCTATTTTTCAATATCATCATAATTTCATATTATTATTTAATTTCTTTTCATTTAAATTATTTATTATTTAATCATAAATTTATAATGGCTTCCCCAAATGAGTTTTACGTTCCATCCACCGAAGAAATGGAAGGCTTCAATCCATTTTCACCATTTCCTCCAGAGGAAGCAGCAGCAATTCCACAACCACATTCGGTCGAGACGAGATGTAGCCAAACACATACGAGCTACGAGTCAAGGGCACGGGCATAGCCCAACCCCCCCGACCGTCAAAGAGGGTCGTGTCCGATGTATGACGATACTTCACCAAATCAAAACGGCCAAAGATAAATGGGGAATGCGAAGAATCGTGTGGGATATGTAATTTCTGTGGAACCATTATTGGTGCTAAGAAGGGGACTTCGACTATGCGATGACATGTGGAGAAGAAGCATCCCCAAATAATGTAGTTGCCCGATGCATCTTCAAGCGAATCAAGCAGACAAATTCAAACTCAACTTAATTTTAATCCTCAATCCTCAACTCTCTCAACATGGTAATACAATACACATGTTGCACGAGAGGAAATAGCAAGATATATAGTTGCTACAAACTCTCCCATTTGTTTATCTGAAAATCTTTTTTTTATTAATATAGTTAAAACTGCATTTTGTCCAGCATATACTCCCGTTAGTAGAAGTACAAGTAGAAGAGATATACTAAAACTTTATAACAAAATAAATAATAAACTTAAAAACGAATTTCAAAATTTTAGGAATATATCTATTGCACTTACATCAGACATTTGGGCTTGTAGATCAAAAACCGATTTTTTAACTGTCACAGTATATTTCTTTGATCATAATTGGGGTTTACAACAAAAATTGATAGGTTTTAAATCATTATATGAAAAACATAGTGCTGCAACTATTTATTTTACAATTCTTGAAGTTT